CATTGGTGAGAGGCAGAGTATTAGCGGAAGGATATCTAGTGCTCTTACTTACAGGGGGTGAAGAGATCAGCTTTTTGTTTGCATTATACCATTTGTAAATCTTCTTCAGATCTTCATATTGTTTCTCATGAAAGTGGGACCTGTGGATGTGAAAGTCTATTAGGTTGTCTCATGTCATGTGAAATGAACAGAACATCCAAGAAATGGATGGAATGAATGGAAGAGGATGGTTTGATTAAGAAATGAGAGGATGGATGGATGGATGGATATATGGAAGCAAAGAAGAAGAAAGTAAGAAATAGAGGGAAAGAGGATGGATGGATGAATGAACAAACTAGTAAATAAAGGAAGATCAATTTAGAATGGATGGAGGAAGATGGTTGGTTGGATAGATGGATGGATGGAAGATGGTTGGTTGGATTGATGGATGGATGGAAGATGGTTGGATTGATTGATGAATGGATAAATGGGTGAATGGATGGATGGATGGATGGATGGTGGAAGATGGTTGGTTGGATAGATGGATGGATGGACGGTGGTTGGATTGATTGATTGATGGATTGATGGGTGAATGTATGGATGGATGGATGGAAGAAATTAATGATCCATCACCTTAAATGAACTTGAAAACACATATCCAGTATACATGTATGTGGCACCTTGCCATTCCAAAACTAAAAAATTACATATAATAACAGTAACTTATAATATTCTCATGACTTACGTGGCAACTTCATATAACATCTTTAGTAAAGTGTTGTAAAATGGCTTTTCATATGAGTCTCCTTCGTCATACAAGTAGGGCCTGAATCAAATCAGTTGAAGTATTTTTTAATGCATTCATCATAATGTAGTCTTAATAAATAGTTAAACAACTTGATTTTACCTCAGGTCCAGTTCTTTGTCATTCTCTTTTCTACATGTCATAAAGGCAACCTTGACATCCTTATGGTGCCTCTCGAGAGCTGTTGTCATGTTACGGAACTCTGAATAGTTCATCAACTGCAATAAATACTCAAGATTTCAATTGCTAGTCTTAACATAAATAAATTATTAATAAATTATAAATTATTGTGAAACAGCATTAATCAGTACTAAAATTAATATAAATAAGAATTAAAAAACAGACGTAGCCCGATTTTGTATTATTTGGTGCAAAATAAGTTTAAGACCATTTCAGAGATTGTGTGCGAGCACTCTATAAAATAATAATCATTTCTACTGCAAGAAAAAGCAAATATATACTAGACAAACATTCTAGGTACAAAACAATAATTTCTTGTAATTCAAGTAAAAGAATAATAATGCAATAAGAGGAGCGTTGGAGCATAGCTTTGTGATTTTCATGGTGCTAATTTTTTACAATAAAATCATTAAAATGATTATTTCAAATTAAAAGGAAAAAATTCAGTGACAGACAAAGCCAATTGATGTCCATCCAAGCTGATCACATTCAACGTGACAACCACTTTGGTTGTCAAGGTTAAGGAATGAAGTTCTTTGAATACAGTATTAAAATTCACTCTTAATGACCAGATCGGTAATCGAGAACTTCGCACTTATCGATTACCATGTTGATAATAAAGGAAATACAACTATTTTGCTTACTTGCTAATAAGTACACAAACTGAACAAGAATTAAAATACATAAACAGAACGAATGCTTAATTTTACTAACTTTTTTCGCTTTCATTACGAGAAAAATACTTGCACAAACTTTTTTTTTGGATGCAAAAAGATTGAATGCTTAGATGTTGTCACTTGTTTTGATTTATTGCTGTTTGAGTGAGCAAAAAAGGAATAGATTTTTTACAAGTATACGAAAGCCAGTTTAGTGTCATACCAACGTGTCAACGTGTTTACACGAGATTTGACACTTAAAGGGTGTTCGGGAAAACAAACTAATCAAGAGATCATTTTTGAATGTATAAAAACCTGAATAGCAAACCAATATAAAATAATATACCTTTAAAAACAAGAATTCAAAAAGCTGCACTGACATTATAATGCCACTCGAATACCTTGCTCGTTACACGATCCAAGGTAGTTACTTAAAGAGATACATTTCAAAATTAAAACTCAGACTTACCCGAGATCGTCGAAGCGTTTTCAGATCTCTCTCCATGATTTATGTATCCTAGATTTCAGTTCCTTAGTAACTTCTCTAATCTATCTCTTCCTTAAAGTTGTTAGTGCACAAGACGGGGTCAAGAAGCATAATACAGTACACTGCATGATGCTCTACACTCTACACAGACATATATATGGTTATACTGGTCAAGCAAATGAACATTCAGGAGTCGAAATCATCCATAAACGACCTTGGCGTACCAAAGAATCTCTAGTTATATAATAAGAGTAATAATCACAAAGATATAGAAGCTCTAAAGCAAATGTTTTGACTGCATTCCATCATCGCGTTGTTTTGAAATTCGCAAACGGGACTATGAGCCTGCATCGTGAAATGTACAGCGGTTTACGCTAGTTAGTTATAAACTTTTTAAATATTTGAATTGGAATTTGAAATGATAAAGTTTAAAGTCAAAGTCAACGGTTTGAAATAATTTCTTATAGATTTTATTCACAATTTCAATATCAAATTCATCAGCAACAAAACCATTTTTAAAAAACTAAATATATTTATATGTGGCGATTTTTCATCATTATCTCTTTTTTCTTGTGGGCTTTCTTCGTTGTCGTGGTTTCTGGCCAGCCGTTGTGAACGTGATACACTGAGTGAAAAAAGGCCCAAAAGTACAACTATTAGAAGAGAACTATTTTATCCTTTTGATATCAAAACGGAGCATCGATTTCCTATGGAATAGTGGGGTGGGGTCAAGAGTGGTTGAGCCCCAAAACCTTGCCCACTAGGGGTATGGCCTTCATATATACTAACTAAATGCCACGATCATGATTATAGTGTTTAGCGCCGTTCACCCGAAGGTAAGATGGACCTATACTTGTTTGGTGTCCCCTAAAGAAAGAAARCAAGAGACTTGTCGCTATCACTAAGGTCATGCTTTAAAGAAAATACGTTCTTTACCTGGGTATCGAGGAAATCTATCAGCTGTCCCAATCGACATTTTATCCCACTAGACTTGACCAGTTCGTGCAAAGCCATTAAATCAATGGGCTGAAAAGGTAACAGGTAACATGAGAGGTACTGAGTATTGGTAACTGTGTCATGTATGAAATAAAAAAAAACTTAAAAACAAATCAAAAACAACAACAAAAACAATAACTTACAGGAAAAAATGCGAAATGAACACCAATAAAAAGTAACAACGACAAGATTTGGAACACTATTACGACAACTGCTAACAAAACAACTACTCCAAAACTTTATAACAGAACAGAACAAGATTAAACTTAGCCTCCTCCGCAGGGATCTCCGTGGCTCTTTTAACACAGGGATCTCAACAGAGAATATATTGGGTATAGCCTACGGAAGAGGCTAGATTAAACTGTCAAAACAAAACGATAGACAAAGTTTAGGAGAGAACGAGTTCTAAGCCACAGTGAAAAACAACTTCAAGCACTGCTATAAAGACAGAGCAGTAGAATCAGTACTGACCCGGTAAGTTAGCACTTTTAGATATACATCACGATGGCTCTCAATGAAGGAAAGTAACTTGTTTTCTAAATTGTCGCCAGTGGTCTGAAATAACAAGAAAAAGTATGAACGACTTTGTCCATAAAATTATCAGAGAAATGAATTATTGAATGAATTGATGAATGAATGGCTGGATGGATGAATAAACGAATGAATGATTGAATGAAAGAAAGAAATAATGAATGGATGGAAGGATGAATGAATGAATGAGAAAATGAATAAAAAATAAATAGACGAAAGAACGAACGAATGAATGAAATAACAAATGGATAGAAGAATAAATGACTTTTTGAATAACTTTTTTAACTTCTCGTACCTGTTGTGATGCAGTGTCTGTCTCCTTGTCAATCAATATGGACGCCTCCCCAAACTCTTCTTCATCTTCGTTGTTACTAAAAAACAACAATAAACAAATGCAAGAATAAAATACTATTTACCAAGTATCCCTATCTTTAGATTAACGAAATGAAAGCAGTACCTTTCACCGCTGCCACGCCCAGTACCCCTATCCTCTTCGGACAAAGAGCTTGTACTCTCAATTCTGCCATTCCCCAAACGTCTTGATGCAGGGAAACCTGTCTGAGAGGAATAAGAAGTGCTAGAGCTTCCATCTTCTATGCTACCAGCAAATTTCCCCTGGGGATCTTTAACTGTGCTGTAGCTTGAAGGCTTGAGGGGTGCAGAAGGCTGTGATGATGCGGGACGCACGGATGAATATCCATCGTCATCTGAGTCTGAACTGTCTCGTATCTGACTGGCAGGAATGTTTTTCTTCTTTTTCGAGGGTTGTCTTGTTGGCTGCGATGAAGAGACTAATGTTTTCAAGGCAGGTTTTGCAGTACGTTGTGGAGCCTTTGCTTGCTTTAATGAAGGACCTTTTGTGGTCTTTGAAGTATTATCTTGGGGTTGTTTTTGTGCTGCAGCACCTGTGGAACAGGTAAGAAAAATAAGTTATAAACCACTGATGTTACATTACTGGATGACCCCAGGTGCTAATCTGATTTTTTTTTTATGACTATGTCAGCAATGACTGTCTATTTAGACACGGGTTTAGTGAATTCATCACGACAACCGGGGCACGACAGTACAGTCAGTTCCCGGTGTTTCACACGCATACGACCACCATTCTTATGGGAAGCCATTTCAATGGTACGGCATGTTGTATCGTGTACGGACTGTAATTCAGTACTGTGTGTTTCAAACGCATACGATAACTATTCTTATGGGAAGCCATTCCAATGTTACCGCATGTCGTATCGTGTACGGACTGTAAGTCAGTACCGTGTGTCTCACACGCATACGATAACCATTTATGGGAAGCCATTTCAATGGTACGGCATGTCGTATCGTGTACGGACTGTAASTCAGTACCGTGTSTTTCACACCCATACGATAACTATTCTTATGGGAAGCCATTTCAATGGTACGGCATGTCTTACCGTGTACTCGCTGTAAGTCACCTTTCTATAAGTATTATTCACTATTACCTGGATGTGTATAGTTGTATATCTCAATCAGTTTGGCTCTCATCTTCTTCTTGGGAAGAGCACGCACACCAAACCTGTTAACCTCATCCTGAATAAAAGTGAAATTATACAGTAGATATATCAAAGAAAGGTGTAATAAAAGTAAAATTATACAATAGATATATCAAAGAAAGGTGTAATAAAAGTAAAATTATACAATAGATATATCAAAGAAAGGTGTAATAAAAGTGAAATTATACAATAGATATATCAAAGAAAGGTGTAATAAAAGTGAAATTATAC